TAAATGTCCAGAAATGAAGTTATTTGTAATAATGTGGAATGGCACAGGGAAAAAGTATTGAACACACTTATTGAAATTTATCTAATACTTTGTACAAAAGCCTTTGTTGTCAATGACAGCTTCAAGACGCCTCCTGAATGGAGAAACTAGTGGCATGCACTGCTCAGGTGTGATTGCCCCCCCAACACTACAATTTTGGGATACTCCTAGTAGGATGACATTCATTAGGAATAAAGACTTCTGAGTTCTGGTGCATTTGTGTGAGCGGGGGTCATTATGTAACGGCGATGCAGTGTCTAGTTTTATAGATTTTTGTCCCTCCCCACATAAATGTGCTCTATTACCCATGTTCGGTCTTGTCCTCTGGTGGCCGGCCAGCTTTTTCTCTTGAGTGTTTGCTGAGGTCATTTTCAGATTGAACATGGGCTCCAGTCTGGTGGATCCTCTGTAAATCCATTCGCTCCTTTTGTCTTCCTGCTCAACACAAAACAACACAAGAAATTCAGACACTGGAATAATTATCCCAAATGTCTGGTTAATTAATATATTGTGTTATCTACTACTCTACTGGAAAATAGAAAACAGTTTACATGATGTAAGATCTGAACTCTGTGGAATTACATGTGGAGTTCCTCAGGGTTCTATACTTGGACCAAAATTGTTTATCTTATATATAAATGACTTTGTTAATGTGTCAGAATTATTTGAATGTGTTTTATTTGCTGATGATACTGAAGGAGATTTTGTAACTGATTAATTGAATATAGATGCAGTTTTGTATTTTATATTTTCTGATCATTTCAGCCTGTAAAGTTAAAGCAGACAAAGAGTTGGTGTGTGTGTTACCATGTGTTCTTTCTTTAGTCTAAACAAAATGAGTTTCGTTCTGACATCTGACATTAATTCATTATTATAGTAGAAAAGAGAATTTGTCAGTGTTTTGCAGTGTCTGCTCACAGCAGAGCTCGTCTGTCTGTTTTGACTCAGCCCAAGGTCTTGAGGCCTGTGTGCTGTACTGTGAACCTGATTGGAGTCAGAAGATTGAAAATAAAGTTTTAAGAAGAAATCCAGCAGATTCCTGTTTATTTGGACATACCATTTTGAACAACGCACATTTTCCCAACAATACCACATTTTTTTGTTTGGGTAAAGACATAGAACTGATGTTAGAGAAAATGCAAACAGAATTTGCGAAAATACAAAACTGGTTTGAACTCAACAAAATATCATTAAACTTATACAAAACTAATTATATGATATTTACAATGAGACAAAGAACCGTTAATATTCCATTTAGAGTTGATGGTGTGGAGATTATTAGAGTCAGTGAGGTAAAGCTTTTAAGTGTTATTGATGAGAAACTGACATGGAAACCTCATAAATTAAGAATAAAACTAGCTAAATCTATTGCATTGTTTAATGATAAAACTCTGTATGTGTTATATAACACATTAATTGTTCCACACCTGGTTTATTGTGTAGAGTTATGAGATAAATCATCTAAGACTATTACACATCCTGTTTTTGTTTTGCAGAAAAGAGCTGTAAGAGTTATCACTTGAAAACATTACTATTATCCATCTAATATTATTTTGTAAACTGGAATTATTGAAATTTTATGATTTGGCTGATTATAACATTTTGTTAGTTATGTATAAGGCTCACAAAAACACATTACCTTTAAACATCCAGACAAACTTTGCAAAGACAGAGAGCTGTTTTAATCTTAAGGGGACAGAGCTGTTCATGAAACCTAAATTTAAAACATGTTTGAAAGAATGCTGCACCTCAATCCAAGGAGTCAGATTGTGGAATAATCTGGAAGATGATGTTAAAAGTGCCAAATACATGTACATGTTTAAGAGAATGATAAAGGTTAGATTGTTGAAAAAATATGAAAGTTTAATGTGTATCCATATAATTTGTTGTTCTACAAAGCTTTGATGTTTTTTGTTTTATTAACTGAAGATTATTGTTTGAATTTATACTTGAGGAAAAAAGGGGCAGATATTATAAGAATTTTTTTCTTCTCTCTGGCGCCTTTCATTTCATTTTATTTATATTTTCTTTTTTATTGTACATAGAACTACATTTTGTTTTTTAAGAAATGAATAAAGTTTGAAATAAATAAAATAAATCTACTGGAATCGAAAGTATATTTACTAAAATACATTTTAATGCTGTTTTTAATCTGCTCACTATTTTGGTTCACTGTTACAGTTACAATTGTCATCATCTATTGTGAAGTTAGAGACAAACGTTTTCATTATGCTTCAGTTGCTTTGAAGTTTTTTCACAAAATGCATTTATTAGTTTCTATTAAAGTGTTTTAGCTGTTTGTAGTGGTGTGTGGCATGTACGTACCAAAAAGAGAATTTTGACCAAGCTGCCGTCCACCTCCTCCACTTTGCTCCTCCACCACGTTCCCTCCCACTCCGTCTTGATGATCTGACCGACCTTCAGGAGCACCATCGGTCTGCTGGGGTAGGCCGAGATGTACTCCTCAATGAAGTCTCGACAGGATGCGTCCTCGATGTCTTCCCAAGTACGTTTTACTATAAAAAAAATTTAATTAAACTCTTGGTCTTCATTGGTTTTAAAATAAAAAAACTAAGAAATGGGCTCTTACATGGTCTGCAAACTGGGTAGAGTTCAGGCAGTATCACATACGAAGCATAACCATCGTCAAAGAAAATCAAAAACCTGAAACACGAGTAAAGAACATTAGTGAGCTCACACAGTCAGCATGTGTGTAACTCTTCAGACGTTTACCGACTCGCCTCATGCGGTTCTTGTTGTTGGGCATCTCTGCGATGATTCCCGCGTAAAGCCACGTCAGGTTTCCATCTTTGTATTTGGCGACCACACGAGCTCCGACAAACAGGCTCTCCAGGGTCGGGTTGTATTCGAAAGCGATGTGATTCCCAGACAGCAAACTCTTGCCCTTATCAAACCTCACTTTGTATTTGAAAGCAGTGTTTCCTGAATATTAACACATAGTTGAGGACAAAATCCAACAATGTGAAAATTAAATCAATAAAAGCATTTCAGAAACCTGAAACCATGAATGTCCAGGGGGAACAAATCAATTTAATCGATCTTGGATCGATTTCATTTAAATTTGGGGAAAATCGATTCACAGGACGAGACTGATTCTTCCCCATTGTGTCTTGTGTGCGTGTCTGAGGCGCGTTTCTCTATTTTGTCACTTCTGGCTTGCCATACATTTACATCCGGTTGACGTTCAGTGCTAACATGAGCTTTCGATAACAAGTTGTCTGAATCAAAACAACAGAAACTAAGGAATCACTGACATTATCAGCTGATTCTCGGCAGAACTTAAAGACAATATTCATTTTCATACACTCAAAAGAGTGGGCAGAAGTATATTTATATTATCCCACCTCTTCTCCTATGAACTTATTCCATCACTTCTTAGTGATCAAGAAAATTATTCTTAGTTTCTTAAAAACTAATGTATCAACAACACTTTCTCTTGCAATTCCTTTTTAGTTTAAACCTTTGAAACTTCAGTTAGTTTCAAGATTAAACTCCAATTTACAAGTTTGTCCTTAATGTTTCTAATTTTAACCATTGCACCAAGTTAGAATTAGTTTCTATTATTTACAGAATTAGTTCCTTTGAGAATGTCTTTTATATCAAAGTAAATGTGTTGCTGCTTGATATCCTTAACTAATTTAAAAATCACTCAATCAAACTGAATCGTCCTGAATCGTGAATCAAATCGGGCCCCTGTGAATTGAATCGATTTGAGAAATCTGAATCGATACCCAGCCCTAGTAATAAGTTTTAATAAGTTATATTGAATATAACAGAAGCTAACAGAAACATAACAAATATACAGTTTTCATACGCTCAGAGTGGGCAGAAGTATATTTATATTAGCCCACCTCTTCTCCTACAACCTTATTCCATCAATTCTTATTTATTTATCAGGAAAATTATTTATTTCTTAATAATGAATTCCTCCAACAACACTGTCACCTGCAATTCCTTTTTCCTTTAAAACCTTTTAAACTTGTGACACTTTTCCTTCAAGATTAAACAGTTTACATTAAAAGTTTATGGTGAGGAGAAAAAAATAGTGATATTGTATTTTGCAACACAGTTGAACCATTTTCATTATTTAAGAGCAGATCAAATCGAATCGAACTAGAGAACTGGCCATGAAAGCCTGAAGAAGTCATACCAAGAGGGTTGACAGCCACGAGGGTGCCTTTGTGCCACGTCTTGGTGCGTTTTTTCCCCAGAATGTTCATCCCAACCTTCAGCTCATCTTCTTTAATGGTGGGATTCGGCTGGGTCATCGCCTGAGACGGAGCTTGTGCCACAAATACTGTCGGCTCTTGACTCGGAACGCCTGGACGACAGAAAATTCACACCGATGAGCATCGATAACGAGTCCACCCGAGGTCCGATACGCAGATCGTCACGTAGGTTCACCTGACTGAGCCGGAGGCTGCGGTGTAGAGCGGATCAACGGAGTTCCCTGTGGAGGCTTGGTCACCATTAGGGCCAGCTTCTGCACCTGCTGGGTGGTTTTCTGTAGAACTGCAGAGGCTTCTTTTAACTGGTGATGGAACCCAGGAAGCAGAATTACAAAAAGCCTGGAGCACATTAGTGTGTTCCACAAGTTTTACACAAAACAAAAAGACTTCTATGGCTACGTTCACACTGCAGGTCTTAATGCTCAGTTCCGATTTTTTGAAAAAATCCGATCTTTATGTGTGAACGTTCACATTACATTTGAACGCAACACAGCACTGATGTGACATGCATGCGCAGTAAAAGACGTGACGTCTCATCAGCCGGCACGTTTGTTTACAGAGCTAGCATGGATGCTACATTTTGCACATCGAATCAAAAGTTGTTGTTTAATCAGAGCCGATTAAATAATTATCTGACCTGCTTCTTTAGTCAGTGTTTATATCTGAAGCTGCCTCTGACCGGGATGCTCCA